CCTTAACCCCAGACTGCTCCCTGGGCGCTGCACAATGGCAGCCCACTGCTCCCCAAGGGGATGGTTTAAATGCAGAGGTAAATTTCTCCAATGCGAGATCAACAAAGTTCAATTGTATTATAGTCAAGAGATGAACACATAAGTATCTGCTGGGAATTCCTCTTTCTATTATAATATTTAAAAATTTTAAGCACATGAAGGAACTAAACCTTTAACAGCGAGTTGACTAATGTGACGACAAACTGAGATACAAACTAACAAACCAATCACGTCCCTCCGTCTGTCCTTCCTGGACTCTACGTACGTTTGACACAAAGTGTTATGTAAATGATCTGCCCGGCAGGGAAGTGTTGAAAAAGGGAAGCTCTGCATTTTTAAAAAGGCAGCAATAGTGTTGCATTTCACAGGGTGAATATTTAAAAGCACTTCTCAGCTGACATGTTGAAACCAGTGAAATCACCTCTCCAAACAAAATGAAAATGATATTAGCACTCTCTATACTTTGCTAAACAAAGCATCTGATACAATTTATTTATATAAACACTAATTAAACATAATCAAATCATGTCAAATTGGAGTGTTTAGAGGCCGTTTTTCTTATCTGAAAGAGACTGAAGATGTATTGTACTGAATATTGTAAATCCATATGAATATAAAACATGTACTTCTAGTTTTCTCTCTCAGTAAGATAACTTCTCTTTGTACCCAAAACCCAGTTTGATGCTTGGTTCAATAAAAGACGCAAAGAAAACAAACACACAGTGCATCTAGTATAGAGGATATATTAGATATGCTGTCTGATCACAGTAAAAATCAGGAGGAGCTTTGGTTCATTTAACTGCAAGAGGAGAAAGTGTGGTGTAAAAGTACTGAAAGCTGCTGAAAAGCTGAAAGTCTTGGTATTGCAGCTGAACACCACCACCAAGTGGAATCTGCAGTGCAGCACAAGCTGTCGGCTATTAGAGGAAAGTTAAAACACATTATCATCCAGCAGGACTTAACTCATCCAAATCTCATCATGATGTAATAACTAATTTATGTTATTAATTTAGGAGTTACTACTTATCATTTCCTATTCTTTTTTACACAAATATTTATTTGCTGTAAGTATACATTTGCTCTTTTTTCCCCTTTGATTATTTACACTTGCTATACTTATACTGTTATTTTGTTGCCTTTATCAAAAACATATTGTAGCAAAGGAAGTGTTTAATAATTTACGAAGGTGCTTTTATGTCATCAAAATTACACAACTATAATCATTAATCGTTGTTGTTTGCTCAAAGCAAACGCCATCATGTCCAGTTCTGGCCATGATCATCATAGTACCCAGTGGAGACTCCTGCAGCTGATGATGTTAAGATACATGCCAGTAGAATCAGAATGAGGCACAAGTTTGACTTTTTACTGGGAGGCGTGCAGAGATTAAGTCTTTGCTCTGTGAGAGAAACACGAAGCTCAACTTAAACTAATACTAAAGACAAAAACATGTATTTCTGAAATTATTTGCTGGCAGAAAAGACTAAAGTTTGTTTAATTGAAACCAGAACAGAGCATGTTTGGCATAAAAATATATTCACAAAATTCAGAAAATAAGCCTTACATGAACCGTGTGCAAAAACGATCTAGAAATAAGTAAAAATTTCCTAAATCAAGCGTATTCACCCTTAATTTGAGAAGGTAAAATGAGATAGTTTGCCAATGGAATGAGTAATTTTAGTCTTAAGGTAAGATAATTAGATAATATGCACTTTAAATAAGACAATGCAATTGTGTTTTCTTATTTTAACTGTAAATTGTCTTGTTCCATTGGCAGAATGTCTCTTTTACCTCCTCAATACAAGAACAAATGCACTTATTTTTAGAAAAAAATTACTTATCTAGATTTAGATTTTTTGCAGTTCATGGAGGTGAAAGTGTTTTATGGGATAGGACCTTACTAACTTACCATAATAGATGCCACCATGAATGCTCATGTGTATTTTGGGGCTTAAGAAAAAGGATAGAGCTTTTATAAAAGAAAACTGAACCTTAATTGGTATAACATACCAATGTGAATTCCCACAAGCGATCTTCAAACTTGTGTGAGAGGAAGTAAGATCCTTACTAGAAGAAATTAGATTTTCATTCTATTTAAAAGGTGGACTCATCAGCTTATCTCAGCTTAAAAGGGCAAAGCAGATAGAAAACAAAGAAAACCCAAACCTGAGATTGGAAATTTTTTATGTGACTTTACACAGTAAGTGAGGCAACCTGTGGGATTTGATTATATGGGACAATGGTAACACATGCATGGAAAATCAGGACCCCTTTGCTTTTTCTAACCCAGTACAGTGGAAAAAAGGGAAAATATGAATGCTATAGCTGTGCAAATGTAGCTTTAGGTTTTTAATCTGAGTCTGTACAAACAGCGTACCTTAGGTGCATGGATGAGATTAATCTTTTAAACATTCCCACTGATGTAAAATGTACAATAACACTGAACAGTTTAGTATGTATGCAGGATGTATCATTGTACTGTACAGAATCTACCAAAATGTTCAGCTTTGAGTTATATGCATTCGCTTCACCATTCCCCGGGTCAGTGAAACGCTTCCCAGAGGAGCTAATCAGCGCCTCCACAATGTTCCCGCTGATAAGCGCCACCTCACTGGGGAGCCAATCAGGCTGGGGAACAGTTCAATTATGCTGACATGCAGAGAACAATGGCAATGCAAGCAGCAGGGAAGTCTATATGCACCGATTGAAAAACATAGGAATCATATTGTGAGTCTTTCTAGAAATAAAACAAGCAGAGCCTTTGCTGTATGGAAACCTGCATCTTCTATATGCATTCTGATTCTTTTTTTACAGAAGAAAGTTAATGGTCAGCTATACATTCTAGTAAACTGATTTTATTTTTTATGACATACTCATAAAAAAGCAATAAACCAATGTGTTGATTAAAATTTTTTTCCCAATATTTTAGAAAACATTTAATATCAAATAAGAATATTTAAGCAGTTTGTCAGAACCAGTTTATTTATTAAACGTATGTAAAAAATACGCCTCAAGAAATTAATAATGTTTTAGACACAAAGAGTGCAAGTGTGTGCAAGTTTTAGCTTTAGGGTTAAATCAAAATATGGGGGGAAACTGGCTGCTTGGCAGAGGCCTGTGCTCTCACACTGCTTTTCTAGTATTTAATAGAATACACTATTACTTGTAAATACTTGTTTAATTTAGGCGACCCAAATGCATTGACAGAAACGGAGGTGGTTTCTTGCAGATTTAAAAACCAAAAGTAGGTAACTGAAGCAAAAATACTAAAATAACACAATACAGAAAATCAGAAACCAGAAGATGTCAGGGAAAACCCACATAAGGAGCAAAGAAACAATGAGAAACCAGCAAACAGTAACTTAAGAGGAGAATATATGCCAAACAGAGCAAAGACTGGGGTAATCAACTGATTGGGAGCAGGTGTGGATAGAAGAATCTAGAAGGGAGCAAGGGGAAGGAGACTGACAAAGACGGCAACAGAGGGTAAACAAGAAATACACAAGATCTCAAATACAACCAGAAAACAACAAAAAAAATTGAAATGAAACAAAGAAAACTCAAAAAAATTTTTTAAATAGATCTAAAAAGTGCAGAAATGATGACAGTTGGGAGACCATAGACCATTGCCATTTTTTGTATTATTATGGTACCAGTTATTCAGGCTTACTGAAGGGGTTATTATATGTTTCTTTTGGACATTTTTATAAATTATTCTGTGTAGTTCATCCCATTTGGATTAAATGTGCCAACTTGGACTGTATGGGAATGAAAAGAAAGATAATTTAGAAAAACATTTTTATTTAAAATTTTTATTCTCCTACCTTTTGTTGTCCTTTTAGCAGCAGAAGAAATTTGTCAGCCAATTTGTCATGGTGATTTTAAAATAATAAATAGATTACAAAAAACAAAAAAAGTATTAAAATATTTCGAACCAAAAATGTGAAAATGCTGCACATGCTGGTAAAACAGGAAACCTGTGAAATCAAGGGCTTTTCCTGACCAAATACAGTCAGATGATCCCTGCTTAGTAAAAAAACCCAAATGGTAATATGATGAGTATCAGGGATTCACAGGACTTTGGCTGAAGATATTATGCTGGATAAACAAAGATGCTTAACACAAGGTAAATAATCTGTACTTATATAGCGCTTTTTCTAGTCAGGAGACTTAACCAAAGCGCTTTACCCTACATTCAGTCATTCACGCACACACAAAGCACGGATAGTGGCAAACTACGTTGTAGCCACAGCTGCCCTGGGGCTCACTGAGAGAAGCAAGGCTGCTGTACACTGGCGCCAAACGGCCGGGCCCTCTGACCACCATCAGTGGGCAATGCAGGTGCCCAAGGACACAACAACACTGGAAGCCAGAGCAGGGGCTCGAACCGACAGAACTCCAATTAAAGGGCATAGCGAGATCTTAACCAAATCTAAATAAACAGGAACAGATACATTCATATGATATTTTTTCTGGGACAAATATCTCATGTGTCCAGAGAACAACATCAGCACCCTTTTAAGAATGTATTTCTCACAGCTGTCTTCCACTTGTTATACCACCTACTGCTGGCAACTGTTGGAAAGTTTTCAGCTATTTGCTGCATACTTTTCTGATTTGTTCACTTTTCCTCAAAAAGCAGCAACTGTTAGCTTGTGTTAAAAATCCTTTTTTTTTCTTTTTTGGTCAAAAATATAAGAAATGTTGAAGGAGGCTCAAAGTAATGAAATACACATTGCACTTTAAGAAAACTTTAAGTAATCGCATGACTGGTTTATAAATTGTAATGTTTATGCTGACATAGAGTTTCTTTAGAGTTTCCTCAGAGTGTTGCTGTAATTGAGGTCAAGTTGTGCTGTTTTTCCTGCATCATACCACATATGACCACCAATGATCTCCAAAAAAGGAAGCGTGCTTACAGGTTTGACTTCCCCCATTGCTCTGTACTCAAGAGAACGTCAGATGCATTAAGAAAACACAGAGAGAGGAAGACAGAGGAGAGAGGCAGAGAATAAAGCATATGTTTGGAGGTGCCTTATTTGCTTCAGCCGGTCTTCTTTAAAGGTCGAGGATGCAGTGGGTTTGTGGTCGTTTACTCTGGTTTTATCCACTTTTTCTCACGTGGTTACAACTTTCGGGTAAGAATCATACCATAGACCTGTTTTAAATGATTCATTTTTATAAATATACTGTCTGTTGTGGAAAATGTCTGTTGAACTTTCCCTGTTTTTGATTTACAACACAAAATGTATTACAACAAACTGTATTTTAAGTGTCTTTTGAAAGAACACACACACACACACACACACACATATATATATATATATATATATATATATATATATATATATATATATAGAGAGAGAGAGAGAGAGAGAGAGAGAGAGAGAGAGAGAGAGAGAGGGAGAGAGAGAGAGAGAGAGGGAGAGAGAGAGAGAGAGTTGAAAATGTTCTTTTTAGTTTTGTAATTTTCAGCATTTCAACCTGAATGTCACCTGATGTAGAAATCACTGATTTGCACATTTGCAGATGATGCTGTTATTTTTTAGGGTAGTTGTGTAAGCTCTATCTGATCTCTCTTTCATGCAGAGCTGCTTTCAGCCTCCACATCTCCTCCAGCGCTTCTAACACCAACCCTGGACATCTATTCAAAGTCAGGAGACTCTGTAGTTCTGGTCTGCCGAGCCCCTGAGGGTCACCATGGGGTTCTGTTCATGTTGTACCGAGAAAAAGAAAAAGTAATTAGAAGTCTTTGTTGAAAAGTTAACTTTTTTGTGTATTGTATTTAATGTGTACCGATTAAATTTAGTGCTTTACTTTCTCATTTTATTGAGATTGACTGGCATGAACTGCAGTATGCTGAGGAGCAGGTTTACTTCACTGTCAGGATGGAAGAATCAAAATCAGGCCAGCACTATCTTTACTGCTGCCTGTACAAGAACCAAGAGGGAATGTACAGTCTCTTCAGTCCCTACTTACAACTTAAGAAACAAAAAGGTACTGTGTTACCACTTTCCTATTTGATTGCTTGATAGCCTTTTTTGTTTTCTTCAGAAAAATAGTCTGGGAAATTCTTAAGTATATTTCTGTACTTTTTTTCACTGTGGAACAAAAATCACTGCTTACGGATAAATTATGAATGATACACATAATACAGTTCAGTAGAAATAAAAGCATAATATAAAGAAGAAAAACAGCAGATGTATGTGTAAGGCTGATTTAAGTTGAGATTCAACACTCTGTATAAAATAAACACTCCCATCCGGTCTACACTAACCACAAAAACGCATTTCAGTATGCAGGTGCTGTCTGTGGTCTCTTATTGTCCTCAGCTCTGTGGGTGTGGATAGCGGCTGTCACATCCTGTGCTTCATATAGAACTACACACCCACTGACAGCTTCATACAGACAAAAAGATCAATCATATCTAAACTGGTTTCCACTACTGCTGCTCATGAAGGGAAGTTTAGTTAGGAGCTTGGAATATGGCAGTATTGTGACAAATCATTCATCTATTGTCTCATAGTTGCAGAGGGGGGTTGGTGCCTATCTCCAGCAGTCACTGGATGACAGGCGGTGCTGATCCTGGACAGCTGGTACCCAATACTGATAAATATCAAATAAAGTAGGTCGTTTGTATGGCTGATCAAATCCACTCTTCTCTGATTTCTGTTTGAATGCCAGAGGCTTTTAAATATGCTTTACTACAACCTTGAAGCGTAAAACAAGGTTGCTTTAAAAGCCATTCCAGTCATTTCTCTATTCAGATGATATTGCTATAAAAAATTAGCTTGACTAGGAGACACCAAAAAAGAGCATCCTCTTGCAATATTGTAAATCAGACAATCTGCATTTTACTTCAGGTATTTTTCTTTTGGTATTTTATGTAAAGCTCTGAAATCACTCCATTTGATCTTAAATGATACAACATATGTACATATTTTTTTACCATTTGTTACGGTCGAACCCACAATCTCATCCAAGTGGACAACGTTCCACTCAATTCAATTCCATTTATTTATGTAGTGCCAATTCACAATATCCGTCATCTTAAAGTACTTTACATAGCCAATCTGGTCAGATTGGTTAGGAAAACCAGTTCCAGCAATTGACTTGTAAGACATGTAGCTCCTTGATGAGCCTGTGGCGACGATCTTCGCTTGCACTCTTCAGCAATCAGGATGATTTCCCTTCGCCTTTAATTGGTCTTCTTATCAATGTATAAAACTGGACTGAAACAAACGTCTTTACTCTAAAACAAACCAAAAAACGTTATAATTGATCCCCCATATGCTAATGACAGCACCATCAGTGTACTGAGTTCTTTTTCACCTTTATAAACAACATCTTGATCTATAGATGTGCTCAGGAATTAACGTTTTAGTGCAAAAGCTTGGAGTTTGACACACATCTATGCATGTTTTAGATCTCGCTTGGATTCGTTATTTGTACAGGGACGTCCACAGGGGGTGCACAGAGGGGCGGTTGCCCCCTTTTGTGGCCAAGCTGTTGAAGAACACATGCTAAGGTGCCCTCTTGGGAACCAAAACACATGTTAAAGCCCTGAAAAAAACACTGAATCCAATTTTGTGTCTGATCCGACGAAGAATTGTTTTGGTCAAGGTTGTCTTTAAAGACAGTAGGGATGATCACAAAATCAGGATGTTTCTTTTCTTCTTTTCCCCACAGCTGAAGGCCCAACTCCATCCATTCCTTCATTCCCCTCACCAGTGTTATCCGTACAGCCCTCCAACGAGGCGGCAGAACTGGGAGACACGCTCCACTTCCGATGTAGCGTCCCCACTCACTCCTACCATTTGCAGTCCCAGTCTAACAAACCTGCAACCTATCTTTTGCTGAGGGCGCAAACAGGAGTGACATCTGTCATCCCACAGCGTCAGGCCAGTCAGATGTCGAACTCTGAACCACAGCCAGGAGTCTTTAATGTGGGCCCATTAAGAGGAGGGGAGGAGGGCGAGTACACCTGCCTCTACCAGATCAACAGTAAAAGGGGGCTGGTTAACTCATCTGTCAGCAACACGGTACATGTTACCATTAAAGGTGAGGGTATTTCTAAGACTTCTGTCTCTGTTAGGTTTTTACTTTTAGCCAGTCTCATGGTCTTGATTAAAAAGGTGAATGTTTAACCCTCTAGTGGTTAGCGCATAGAGCTTCGAATCCTGAAGTTGGGAGTTCGAGCCCCACTCTCACAGACTCCCACAGCACCCACACTGCTCTCTAGGCGCCCTACAATGGCAGCCTACTGCTTCCCAAGGAAATAGGTTAATGCAGTGGTAAATTTCTCCGATGTGAGATCAATAAAGTTCATTTATTGTTATTATTACATTTGAAATTAATATCTGCTGGCTAAGGTGGACACCATCATCAGTGGCAGTATTTCTCCTGAAAGTTAACATCACTGTCTAAAATGTTCAAGAGGTGATTGAACACCAGTAGTTTTTGCTTGTATGTGCTTGTTATTGGAGTGTTACTTAGGGCTTTATATAACCTTGACATATTTTAGTAAGAGTTACATTCCATGTTCTTTAATTTTGTAAGGCTGAAAGACTGCAGTACGTGATACATGCAGGGTTGTGGGGATGTGCCTGTCTAAAGAGAGCAGTGACAGTGCCTGTGAATATCCTCTCAGAAAGGAAGATTCTCCTGCAAAACACAAAACTAAAATGCTCTGATAGGTGAAGATGCTTAGGGTTCTCCGACTGGACCATAGAGCACAAACCTTTTATGTACTTTTTATTACTATCGGGATCTTTTTTAGAGTGATATGCAGGTTGCTTTCCTGTATCTCATTTGCTGATTTTTCAATTCAATTAAATTGATGCACTTTTCTTTCATGGCAAACAAATGTTTTTGTCAGAATAATATTATAATTCAAGAAGTTGAAATGGAGCATCTCAAGAGAAAAGACCAAGAGAATGAATGACGGAAATGCTCTACCACTTTGCATGATCATAGTTTTAGTTGTGATGCAATGTTTTCTATTAGACTAACTGGCCATATGTTTAAAAAGTTAAAAACTGCTGGTTGAGGTTATTGTGATTTAAAGGTTGAAGGGATAATATTCTCAGGCTTGATGTTGACTTCTCTGCTCCCAGGTGTGCTCCCTGTTCCCTCCCTCATCCTCCAGCAGCAGACGGATGTGTGGCATATGCTCTGCAGAGGATCCCCTGCATACCCCGGTTCCTTGTTTTCACTCTATGTAGCTGGTAACGAACATCCTGTGGCAACTTACCATGCAAATGCATTGCACCATCAAGCCACATTCCCAGTGCCAGTCCAGGACTCCCCAGTGACCTTTTATCAGTGTCAGTACAGTGCGCTGTTAGGGAGCTCGTGGAGCCCCTCTGAGCGAAGTATCCCTCTGGCTATAAGCACAGGTACGGACCTACAGTACACATCCACCATCAGCAATATTTTCAGTTAATAGAGTTTTGACGGCTTCTTTCCCTCCATCTTTCAGGAGGTTCCCCTCCACCATCGAAAGGTGGGCCACAGTGATTTCTGTTTTGTTAATTCATTAAAATGGGAAAAGATGAATGAAAGACAACAATGCCTTTACAACATTTTTGTTTTCCTTTAGCAGACGTGGACTGGCCTCTTTTACTGGGCTCCTTCTCTGCAGCTGTATTATTTCTATGCTCGCTGGTTTTTGCGGTAATGTTTGCGAAGAGGAAAGGTATATCCCGTATAAAATGTCTAATTTTAACTTTTTATATTTCCTCTATAAAAATCATGATCTCTCTCATTTTCACTTTCTTAAAGTAAAAGCAGCTGCTGAGGAAAAAAAGAGAAGGTAATAGATTTATAGCCCTAATTTAATACCCTGTGCAATAACCCTGTATAATAATCCTGCTATACAAGAGACTTCAGCTGTCATATAAATATATATGTGGATACACTATAAATACTGTATATACCTCCATGCACCTTTTCCTCCTTTTGGCACCTTCTTCTTCTTTTTGACTTTTGAGCCGATGTAATGAGTACATTTTTCCATTGTGAGATCAATCAATCAATCAATCAGTGGCGGCCGGCCCATAGGGGGCGCTGGGGCACCGCCCCCCCTGATAAGAAGAGAGAAACGTAAAATATATTTTTAGAAATTAACTCATAAATGTCAGTTTTACTCTCTAGACTGTGTACCTATAAGCAAAACAAATTATATAAACTACATTTCCCTATCTACTGTCATTAATTTGTGGATTTCCACAGACAGACTCCTACCGTCTCTGTTCTTGGGGCGCTGGTCAGACTGACCCACATTTGCAGAGAATCTGTCAATTATGTACTATTGCTAGGTGAATTTAATGGCCAATCAGCGTCTCGGAACTTTATGGTCTTGGGGCGCTGAAAATACTGCGCTTTAACAGGCTTCTGAACCCAAGCGCAGGTGCAGACAATTAGAGGGAAGATGGCGAATGTAACGAACGAGATGCAGCTTCCACCAAATTCGGTGAGATCCTTATTTATCTACCCGTTTGCCAGAAGAACATCCCTGTTGTAGGGTAGGAAAATTTCATGTCATGGTTATTGTGACTGTGACGAATCCACCTCGTCGCTTAAAACAACCTCTCTAACTTTGCGCGCCACACACACATTCCTGTTATACTTTGTTTGTGAGGACCAATACACTCGCGCTGAGACCAGTAGCTCCATGAACTTAAAACACACAAGCTGTTCCTGGTTACCTGCTGGCATATTGAGGGTGCACACTTAATATTTCATTGGGGTTAGCCGTGTGTGTGTGTGTGTGTGTGTGTGTGTGTGGGGGGGGGGGGTGGGGTGGGGTGTGTACATGTTTATTCTATGGGGACTTGTCATCTTTAGTCTGGCTGCGTCTTAGCTGGGTTCAAACCCAGTTTGGTGTAATTGAATAAGTCAATGAATCTGTGTAAAAGAATTAAGTTGTAAAAATTATTTGTTGTTGTACATCAATTGTTTGTGGAGGTAATATATGGACAAAACTGATTCATGAGAAGAAATCAGAAATAAGAGAGCCTGAGGGTAGGGGCTTAAACTATTTAATGAGGGCTGTGGGAAGAAAAGCGGCAATTTTTGTTTTCTGTTTCTTTGTTACATTGCTGGTAACTGGAGGGAGGCTGAGGCCCAGAGTATCTTGTACATGTTTAGTTTCTTTTGCACCCTGTTTTGAGTTTTTGAGCTCAATAAATCACCAACACCGGTAATCCGACTGAGACTGGATTCTTGGAGGCCAAAGAACCCCGTCACAGTGACCCAAATCATCACTGTTACTGTTATTATTTAGTAAATTAAATCATTACTGTTAAATTGTATGTATTGTCCAATTGTTTATTTGAATTCTTATTCCGGATTAGTTGGAGACATACACTAGGCTATATCAGCCCCACCAAAAATATTTTTCACCAGCCGCCACTGCAATCAATCAATCAATCAATCAATCAATCAATCAATCAATCAATCAATCAATCAATCAATCAATCAATCAATCAATCAATCAATCAATCAATCAATAATGGATCCTGCAGAGCACAGAGACAGTGTTTTTCCCCACATACAATGAATAAATATTTTTTATAGAGTAGTAAATATTTAGATGTATGCATATTCTAAGAAATTAATTTCCTAAATGCTTGTAGACTTTTTTTTTTACATTAAGAGATGCTCTTGTTGCTCTGTTCCAGGAAACAAGCACAGTTCTGGACAAAAGTGCACGCTCGAGATCACATTGTTGGTAAGTTCTCTTCCACAGAATCTAATTTCCTCTTTAAGACCTCCTTTTTTGTCGATTCTGCTTTTATAAGACTAAAACATCCCCTCCAAACTGCATGGGAATCACCCATGCAGAGGGGATGTCTTTAAAGTGTATAAATTTTTTTTTTCAGATCTTACTCTCAGACGAACCAGTTTCACTTCTCAGGTACATCTTTCTATTTTGTACTTATAGATAAATGAAACTGTGGGTTTTTATTCAACTCTCTTAACTTTAATAACCTTTGATGGAATATAGTGCCGTCATTTCCTTTCAGGCATTAGCTAGTCAGTTAAAATAGCCTATGTATGTGTTATTTTTTTCTGTCAGTATGAATAGAAAGCTTTTAAGATTAACAGAGAATTTTGATGAATAACGAAAAACAAGAATCAAAGAAAAGTGGAAAGAAAATAATCGAAATTATGCCAAACACCATAGGGAATACAGCAACCATGTGGAAGCAGCTGCTTTGGTCCCATTAGCAAAAAGCTGAACTTTACGTCCGACATGATAGAAATATAGCCAAAACACACAGCAGAGGTGGTAGTATCAAGCTGTGCAGATGTGTATTTATCAGAACAAATGTCAACTGGCCAGATGTGATGGGCTGAATATAAAGGCAATGATAGATGAAAAACTGTTAGATTCTATGGTGGCTCTGATTCTGTAGTAGATTAGTTTATTAGGAGGACAACAACAGGAAGCAAACAATAGATGAATATTAATGCATCAGAACGTTCCAGTCCGAGTGTAAAGCTAAATCTGAGGTGAGTTTAAAAAAAAAAATCCTCCTAGATGTTTTTCATGCAGTCTGATAGGGTAGAGATGTAGTTTCATAAAGTTCAACCTTTATCTAATGGAAAAAGGGATCCTTCAGAGAATGGACTCAGAGGCATAAATGTAAATACACCCACAAACCTTTTCAGTTAAATTGCATTTTGTGTAATAACTATGTAAAGCCTTGCTCCAACATTGATATTTGATGTTACAATCTGCAAACAGGTGAAAAGAAGCAAATGTGTGAATAACTTTAAAAAGAACTGAGGAAAGGAAACAAGTAGGATCCCTGTGTCAGTTTTTTCTTTAAGTTTTAGTAAGATTTATAAACAGACATGTAAAATATCACCTTGTTAGTATTGTCTCTGGAATTGCAGGTTTGTGTGAACATTCACAGTGACAGGGGAAGGAAGATTTTGCATTTCTTTTGCTGGAATGAAAGGGATTTTCGTGTCCTCGGTTTGTAGATTCCTCTTACAAACAGGAATAAACTTTCATGCTCGCTCTGCTGTAAACAGACTCATTCATCACTACAAATCAGCCCATCGCCTCTCTAAAACATATTTCTACTCAAATCTGCACACACACTGCTTTTCATTAGTGTTGTTGTGCACTGTTAGCACATGCTTCTCATTAGGTGTAATTATTTTCATTAATTAGCTTGATGAAAGGCTCTCCACAGACTAAAGGCTCTCTCCAGGCTGTCTCGTTGTGCACCGCTCCTCGGCAGCCATCATAAACAACAGAATGCAGTCGCCACCAGCTGGTTTCTCCCAGAACAAAAAATTATTTAAGGTTTATGTTTTACATCTTGCATTAATATGTGCTTTTGTTGCACATGAATAAATCAAAGTGTGTATGGCTTTCTATGATGCTAATTAGCCTAATTAAAAATAGCATTTCTCTGGGCTGCTGAATGACAAATAAGTTTTTATTTCCTATAAAGGAAAAACAAACATTTAAATCTCATGCAGATCTCCCTGAAAAAAGGCTGATGGCAATTATTTTTGATTTGCGATGCCGTGGAAGATAATTAGATGTGAATTAAACATTGACACAGACTCTTTTTAAAACAATGAAGATCATAAAGTGAGTTGAAAACAGTTTGATGAGATGTGTTGGCTTTTAAGACTCCAGATAAAGCTTTCATTTTCTATATTAAACTTTTATTTTCACCATTTTATTATTTTTTTGCTTTTGTTCTTTACCAATGTAACATTCTCTATAAATTACATCCAGTTATATAATTATTTTTGCCTCCTACCACATGGCTTAGAACCTCATCTTTCTTTTAGGACCATTCTGAACTGCCTTCAGAACATGCAGCCTGCTCAATTTATTGTGGCCCCTTTGCTTATCTTAACATTTGTGCAGCAATATTTGTAAATCAACCACAACAAGCCCATTTATTACACATTCTAAAAAGAATTGCACGTGCAGGCCCTTGCTGGAAGACCAACCTCAAACAAATCAAAAGCATGATACTGTCACTATCGTTTGTCACTGTGTCGAGGATGTTTCTACAGTGCAGGGTTAGAGTAGCTAGACTGATATGCCAAAAACAAGGAGTATCAGTCTGGTAAAGAGCTGGTCAAGTTTGATTTCAAAGGTGGGATCAGCAGGGTACGCCTCATGAGGTTAGAACCAATCTGATAACTACTACTTTTTCCTAAAAAGTCTGAGTATATAAAGTTTGATTTCTATTATGTTCCTGATTTATGGTGGTAAAGATTCTCAGTTATCCAGGTCATAGTAATATCAACAGAGTTAAAAAAGCTAAAAAACAAACCACTGGAGTTTGTTTTCCAAGTCTGAAGACGTTTCGCTTCCCATCCAAACCGGTGGATGCCCTGACAGGGCATTTGTCAAATCAGCAAGGAAATCCGATAGACACACAGGAGAACATAACGGTGAGAAGATTAAATGCAACAACGTCGCCATTCGATTTGTTGCTGGAGTCTCTGAAAAACTCAAGAATATTTTCCTTAAACACAAAATCCCAGTACATTTCAAACCAAACAAGACACTTAGACAGAGGCAAGTGCATCCTAAGGACAAAACTCGCAGACCTAAGATGAACAGAGTGGTGTATGTTTTTCAATGTAGTGAGGAATGCTCGGATCCTTATATTGGAGAAACCAAACAACCTCCCCACAGGCGCATGACCCAACACAGAAGAGCGACTTCCTCCAGACAAGACTCTGCTGTCCACCTACACCTTAAGGACAAAAGATATTTGTTTGAGGACCAGAATGTTCACAGTTTGGACAAAGAAGATATGTGGTTTAAAAGGTGTGTGAAGGAAGCTATTTATGTTAAGAGAGAAAAAAACAACTTTATACAGGGGGGGGGGGGGGGGGGGGGGGGGGGACTCCAGGTCTTCCAGGTCTCAAAAATCTACAAGGCAGCAATGGAGTTGAATCCATTCCTGCTATTATTTCCAACCTCATCGCCATGCAAGTTAAAAAAAACATGTCGCCAGGCCGACCAAGACCCTAACAACTTCCTTTTCAGATGCATGGGAGAGCATCGGGTTTTGCAGGCCAACAGCGACTTCAGCTACTCCCTATTACTAAGGGGTGGACCTGTTTTTTGGTTCATTTTGCATGCTTTCTAAGTCATAACAAGGCTTAAGTTTATGCCACTCTGTAAGCCTAGAACTCAACATTACTCCAGATATTTTAAATTGAGAAAGCTTCCAGGATGGGAATCAAACATCTTCAAACTTGGAAAGCAAAGTCCAGTGGTTTCTTTTTTTTTTTTTTTTTTACTTTGTTGGATTTCCTAATTGACACTGCAAGATTGCTCCATAGTGGTTTTGAGCTTTCTGTTAAATTAGCAGAAAAGCATTACTGCATTATGGGTAATTCTGGAACTGAGAGTCAGGCATCATAAAATCCAGCCTTCCACGCTTTCATTGGCTCGGCCAGATCTGGTCTGAGACAACGGAGGCTTACCAAACTGAATTACGCCCTGCGTTATTCAGTCAGGTTGTACAGGCTAAGGTTAGAGCAAATAGCCTGTTTACATGTAGGTTTAAAGTGTCAATGTTAGTCTTGTATAGAGATGTCCCGATCCAGGTTTTTGCACTTCCGATCCGATACCGATATTGTTTTTGGACTTCCAATCCGATACCGATACTGGCCGATGCCAGCCTATCCGAGCATGTATTTAAGTTTAAGTTAAAGTATTTAGCCTTAGTTGTAAGACTCATGTTGAAAAGGGTTTTAGTACTCTTGATAACATCTAGCCAGCTAAATTAGGTGAGATTGAATAAAACACAATGCTTGGTAACAACAAACTTACCTGTTTATTAAGAGATAAACACAAACTGGACAAAATTGCGAATAGCAATCTGAAATTGCACAGTGAGCAGTAAAACCGTAAACAGTTAAAGGTGCAAGTATTACCGTAAGTTTTAATAAAAATGCAAAACAGGGAAACACTGGCGCAAAATAGTGGAATGGATCGTTTCAATCGGCGAAACTGGAAAATATGGACCGGATTTAAAAAAAAAAACTGGATCGGCAGTCTGGATCGGCATTTTACATGCTTTGCCGATACGCATTTTTTTGCCAATATCGGCGTCCCGATCCGATCCACGTATCGGATCGGGACAAGCCTAGTCTTGTATAACTATAGCATTTTTATCATGTGTACATTGTTCTCTATATGGATTGTGGCAAAAGTCAGCCTTCCATAGAGGCTAGTGTGTCGTTTACACACTCGCTCTGGGGTGGATTTCTGCAGCTCTTTCACCGTTACCATTAGAAAGCCTCTTTTAGACAGCAGGTCTATGTCTTAGGAGAACAGTTGTGTCTTAATTGTTTAATTTTTGCATGATTAATGGAAGTTCTCCATGAGATGTTCTCATTTTTTTTTAACACTTGCATAAGTGTAGAGGATTAAACAGAGCTGCTTTGCCTTCTTTACTTTTACTTTTCAAAATTTCAACAAATCCTGGTTATTTTCTTAAGTTTAGAACTACATTTGATGTGAAGACTGAGCCAAAAGCTTCACATTTGTTGTTTCGTGTTACTCTGCAACATCACAAGCTCTGTCTCAAAAACAGGAGAATATATTTAGCAATGAAAGCAGTGGTAGGATATGAACCCTGCCCCAGGAAATGACATTGCACATCCCTTAATAGGCTGCCTCTAAGTGTTTGTTTCTTTACAGGAATGGGCCTGCGGGGACACGGAAACACCTTCCAGATCTTCTCTCTGGAACCCCCTCACGACTTTCACAACCCCTAACCATTAGAGATGTTTGTTTCATCTCTACCTGTGTGTGTATGTGTGTGAATGTGTGTGTGTGAGAGAACTTCATCAGGGTTTATCAATGTAGCAACAGCTGGAGTTGCACAGCAGACAGGAAAAGTCTATTTCCTATTCTTTCTTTTTTCATTAATGTGTAGCGATTATTTGAAGATATTGTACTTTGATCTTTTAAAATAAATATGGATTTCTTTTTATCTTTTTTACTTGACTTTGAAATGTGTATTTTTGTGCCTTATCTGGAGATCCATTAATTAAAAAAAGGCAACAGTTCATATGTTTTATTTAATAGCACCAGGAAGTTTATACATGGACGGATCTGTTTTTGACCAATCTCCATATTCTTTTAAAGCTTTGACTGATTTCTCTTTCAACAATCTTCCTGGTCTTAAAACCATCAGTCAAATTTAATTGCATATATTATGGGAGAAACATCTAGTGTGAGTGTGAGAGCCAGCAGTTTATTTGAGCTGTTTATTTATATGGTGCCAATTAACAGAGTGTCATCTCAAGAGTCAACTGAATAAAAAACTCCAGGCAGATTAGTTTAAAACTTTTCTATGTAAGAAGACTAAACACTCTACATCAAGTCATTGATTTAAAAAGATTTTTGTTTCCACTGTAACAGCGTTCATCACTATAAAACAAATGAGTCAAAAGATGTAATGTGTTTACTTTTTAATCTAACTTTTCCAACCCAGAGATAAATAATTAAATGATATCACTACTAAATAAAGAAACAGGGACAGTTACAGTTTCATTTTTCTTTTCCATCGTTTCTAATATTCTAACTCTCAAAATAAGTTTTAACATCAGAAATTTGTTTTTTTTTATACTTGCACTTAACATAAGAATGACTTAAGACTTGACTTGGAAAAAATGCTGTGAGCCTTGTGACTTAACTTGAACTTTTACATCAGTTACTCAGGACTTGTACCTGTGTTTACTCTAAAATACTTTATTTTACATCTATCATTTAAATAGAGGGTATAATTAATTAATTGTACTTATGTTTAAAAAAGCAGACGTTCTCTCCGTCACTAATCACTCTCCCCCTATGTGAGTTGCCGCACAGCCAATCAAAGGCTCCTAAGTGTAATGTCTTCACATCTACATAAACCTAATTACACAATTTGCACAAAGGAATATGCAATTCACAGATGGGGACTTGCAACAGCAGGTAACTTGTTTCGCTAGATAAGGTATCCAACGTTAACTGACTTTAGCTAATTATCAAATATTATTCGTGCTGGTTTCACTACATATGTTCAATCATTTACAAACAACACATAATAAAACTTAATTAAAAAAAGGCAAAAAGACTCGAAAGGACTTGAAATTGGAACTTTCAGACTTGGGACTTGACTTTTGTTACCTGTCTTGACTTTGACTTGACTGTCTTCACTTGAGCTTGACGATAAAGACTTGAAACTCACTTGAGACTTGTATAACAATGACTTGGTCCCGTCTGCCTGACAGTGTAATTAACAAGTAATAGTAGTAGAAGGATAGTCACCTGGGTTAGACGGTGTCATATGTTAATGACTTTGTCCCTCTGTTTGATTTACAACTATCAGTCTGCTGTTATTCTAAAGCAGAGGTATTATAAAACAATCCCTTCAGAAAACATCAGTAGGCATTATTGAGTCAGAGACCCTTCAGAAGTTGGTTATTTTTTAAATGTGAACCTTGGATGATTCTAGTATAATCGTAATCTGCTGGGCTTCAATACATCCCTCTGCAATTGGCTGCTAGACTTCCTTAAAAACAGACCTCAGTCAGTCCGGGTCGGACAGAACACCTCTGATATCAAGCTCCCCTCATGGTTGCATCCTGAGCCCTCTGCTGCTCACCCTGATGACACATGACTGTGCCCCCAGGTTCACCAACAATCACATTGTGAAGTTTGCAGACAACACCACGGTGGTGGGCCTCATCAGAGTCGACAACGACCAGGACTGCAGAGAGGAGGTGGAGCAGCCTGATCCTGAATGTTGAGAAAATGAAGGAGATCACCGTCGACATCAGGAAGACCCGACCTAACCACGGTCCACTGATGATCAACAGCTCATTTGTAGAGATGGTCAGCAGCACCAAATTCCTCACCTGGACTGTAAACACCACCTCACTGGTATAAAGGGCACAAAAGCGCTTGTACTTCCTGCAGAAGATGAGGAGAGCCCAACCGCCTGCACCCATCTTCACGTCCTACAGAAGCACCATAGAGATCATTCTGCCCAGCTGTCTCACTGTGTGATGTGGAGGCTGCAGCGCCTCAGACTGGAAGAAGGTGAGAAGAATGTGAGACCAGCAGAGAGGATCATCGGGGCTCCTCTTCCATCCATTTAAGACATTTCATCCCAGCGCTGAGTGTCCCAAGCCTGTAACATCAGTTACTCCTCACATCCCCACCATGGACTGTTCTCCCTCCTGTCCTCTGGAAGGAGGCTTTGCAGCATTCGATGCAGGTCCAGCAGATTCTGCAAAAGTTTCTTTCCCACCGCCATCAGACAGCTGAACAGTTGAAAAAACTCTAAATCAAGTCGCAGAGTTTTTATAAGGACCAAACCAAAATACTGCATATTTGCTCCATATACTGATGCACTGAACTTCCATATCAATGCGTTTTTTTCCGGCATGTTTTTTCTCCCACACTGTTTACATTTCATCACTGCTGTACTTTAGGGAATGTAAATGTTCATTTACCCTCTGTGAGCTGTACAAAACAAAATTTAGTTTTGTATACACTGTGTATACAAAATGACAATAAAAGTTGTCTACAGTAAGTCTATGTCTATCTGCACTGGAGATACAAGCTTAACAGATTAAATGCACATTTAACTAGTTGATTATCTTTCTCTCCTATCTTGACTGCTACTATGAAAGGTGCATTTAAAACACTTTGTTGCAAGCCTTAATATATGAATATTTGTGTAACAGATTGTACTGTAATGTGAAATAATTTGAAATGTATAGTTGTTCTTATGATGTGATCATTTGATATGTTTTGTGTATCTGTATAATTTTAAAAGGACCCCAGAAAGAGTAGCTGTCAAATTACTGACGGCTAATGGGCATCCAAATAAATAAACAATAAACAATATTTTCAGTGTTGAGTTCTTGCGTCTTTCACAGTTTCACTTTCACTGGACCCATTATTCATTTTCATTCATTTCAATCTGAAAAACTCACACAAAGAGAAAAGACAAGTAGAAGAAATTTCTTGATACAATTACTTGGTCCTCGGCAGGAAACATAGCACTGAATTTTGATGGAAATGCATGAACAGGAGTAAAGAATAGGGCTGTTTTTCCCCAGGCCTGAAACTGGTGGTGGAGTTAGAGGAAGTTGGTCAGTCTGTAGACTGCTGGTTGGGGAGACGGTATGCTGAGCTTTAGATCCAGTGGACTGCCTACCCCTCAAAATCTATGTTCACAAATCACTATAATGAACTATAATGGCGTTACTGAAGCTTAATATTGGTCTCTGTGTGCATTTCAAACAGAATGTAAATCCTTATCTTAGTCTCAAGTTCTAAAGAGGGTGCATTTTCTAATTCAGGTCGTTTTATGGTTGAAAAATCAAAAGGATAAATTATTCTTACTTTTCTGTCATGGATTTAGCTTCCCTGTTCCTCACAAAAGTCTCTCTTTTATTTCCAAAGTAATGCACTGAATGAACATGAACTGTCATGCTTCCATAAGAGTTTTCTTCCCTTAGCCTCAACTTCTATACTGAATACTGTAGTTGTGACCATAAGTTGCTCATTCCTAAGAATGGTCATTGACTGGAATGAGGCCAAAATTTTATGACTCGAAATTCCTTTGTGCTTTTGCAAAAAATGAGCAACTTCATTGTTTTTCTTAAGCTTTTTCATACATTTTACCCATTAAGATGCTAAAAGGTTTACACTAATACCTGTGCTGCCTTAAACAAGTGATTTTCTCTTACAAGAAAAGAACGTTGACAGCAAGAAAAAGAAAAAAGCTCTGATATAAGCAAGAACTAAAGAAGATACGTAATACGCATCTTTTCTATCTTTAAAAACTCATGTTAACTGATGATGAAAGAAGTACATTTATAAAAAAAATCACTTGTTTCATCTGAGAAAAAAAAGACAGGTCATGAAAAAAAAACGCAGCTTTTTAACCAGATGAGCTCCAGAGGACATTCAACTCAAAAGACAGCAATATGCAAAATTGCAATCAAGATTAAAAAACAATTATTTATCACAAAGCTGAGAATAAAACAAACATATTATTGAGCTGCAGGGGTTCTGCTAAATATCCTGCAGGGGGCACTGCTTCTTTGCAGTTTTGAAGTCATAAATACCTTGCAGAACAACTTAATTACCTTGTCCTTGTTATTGACAACAAAATAAAATATAAAACCCTCCCTATAACATGCAGGGAGCCAAAAGATCCAATAAGCATAATCAGATTACAATATGTAATTATTTACTTCTTCACCTTTTACTATGTGATAAAAGGATATCATATAATTGATTACATCACAGTTCGTATATCTGTGTACCATGTGCTATGAGTGATACATTAAAAGGCTGTAGGAGGGAGAAGCATTTCTCTTCTCTTTGTACCTTTTTATTTCTTACAATTACAGGACAGAGAGCAGCTGTCCTTTCACAGACTGAAAGCGGCTCTTTATTAATGTCATTTTATCACATTTCATGAGCCTCACAGCTTCTCTAAGCTGTCAATCACTTCCTGAAAGCAGAAAATATTTGCAGAACATTATGCAGACTGCTCAGAATGTCCTGCTTATTAGAATCATGCTCTTTCTATATGGTCACCAACATATGCATGTAGGGTAAAGGCATTTAGCTGTAGATAATTATATTCAATCAGAGAACCTTAACAGTGATAAAAGACACCAGGAATGGGGTTTAATTACTTTAAAGCCCTACAGAAACAGCCTGTTGCTCATACATCTCAGTTCAGACCATACAACATATTAATCTAGGCTTGTTAATGAACATGTTTTCAATAATGCTGATAATGCTGATTCACAACAAGTCAATTGAACCTGTTCATCCAGATTTAAAGATTATTCAGAAAGTCATGAATGGCGCAACAGACTGCAGATATACTCCAAAACAAACAGATAAAAAAGTACAAATTCATGCAAAAAGAAATTGCTGCAAAAGAAAGATGTTGCGTTTAGAGAAAAACAGAAGCAAACTCTTAGA